AGTCAATTAAGTTTTTTGTTGAAAAAAATGTGATCTATCTTGTTTGGTGTTTTATTTTGAAACTTTATTAAAAGGATATTGTTATGGATTTTTAGACTTTTTGATAACTGATATGAATAAGATATTTGATGATTATTTATTTCACATTGGCTTAACATTTGCAACACTGACTAAAAAGACTCCTAGCCAGCCAAAAAGTATATTTTAAAAGCTCAAAACTCTTTAGTTTAAAATTAATTCTCTGTTTGCATATGTCACCGGCTTTAATTTACCGCAACCATCTCAAACTCTCAACTTCTCTCTTGCCATTCGTCCAATTTTCGTTCATGCGTTATGTCGTTTACTATTAGATTCTTTTATATAAAAAAATTTTATTATCTTTTCATATGATAAATACTCTTTTTAGTTTAAAAAAATTTCCCGCAGATTTATACGAAATTTGTTACGAATTTTCAAAATAAAAATATTAATATTTCTTGCGAATAGTCCGTTAGATATAAGTTTAAATTATATATAAATTTCAAATCATTCAAATAAATTTTTATATATAAACCGTATTACTTAAACGGGTTTATTTCTTTCTTTCTTTGAAAAATACGCTAATCAAATGTGAAAATTTTCATAAAGTATGAAAATAACTATTAACATATTTAGTATTCAAATCTATTTATAAATGATGAATGATAAACATTTTTTCAGTTTAAAATAATTTCCCGCGTGATTTGAACGAGTTTTATTTATAAATTATCAACAACACGGACAACAATATTTTCTTGTAAAATAAAAATATTAACATCTCTTTCTATTACTTCGTTAGATAAAATATAATTTATGTACAGAAATCATAAATCTTAAATATTGTATACTATATAAAATAATTTTCCACGTGGTTTACGCGCGGGTTCTATTTTTTGGTAACGATTTTTTGGAAAGAAATTAAAAATTAATACTATATTACTTTTTTGTCAAGAAAAGTTAATACTATATCTTTCGTTAAATTCATTTAGATAAAATTTAGAGACAATATAGAGATTAACTAATCTCAGTATAGAGATTTTAATTAAAACTTATTACTCCATTTTATAACCTTTTTCTCTTGTTAAGCAAAAGGAATCCCTAAGCAAAATGTGGAGAAAAGACAGAAATGAAACATG